CCCTGATTATGAAGAGAATAGTCCCTAACAAATGAGTCCAAAGAAAAGCTGGCAGAGGGCAAACCACATGTTAACCAACGTACTAGCCCAATGCAAATATCGAAAACAGTGGGGCACAGAATAGGTTGAGTTTTAACTATCAGGTTCCTAAACTCCTGGAAATGAACAGGAAGGCAGTATTATATAATGGTTTAAGATCTCAGGAGTTGGATCCAGAATGTTTTTTATTAATTGAAATATAATTGACATATAATTAATTTCAGGTGAACAACATAATGATTTGTGTATATTGTGAAATGATCCCCAAGTTATGTCTAGTTAACATCTATCACCTCATAGTTACAATTTTTTTTGTGTGTGATAGAACTTTTAAGATTTACTGTTAGCAACTTTCAAATATGCAATACAGTATTATTAGCTTAGCCACCATGCTATACATTACATCCCCAGGCCTTACTACTTTATAACTGGAAGTTTGTACCTTTTGATCCTTTTTACCCATTTTGCCCAATGCCTATTCCCCACCTCTTACACCCCACAACCTGTTCTTTTTATTTGTGAAGTTTGGTTCTTCTGTGTGTGTTGTTTTTGTTTTTGTTTTAAGATTCCACATGTGAGTGAGATCATGATCATATGGTATTTGTCTTTCTCTGACTTATTTCACTTAGCATAATACCCTCAAAGTCCATCCTTGTTGTCACAAATGGCAAGATTTCCTTCTTTTTTATGGCTGAAAAATATTCCAGCGTGTGTGTGTGTGTGTGTGTGTGTGTGTGTGTGTGTGTGTGTGTGTGTAATATATACCACATTTTCTTTACCCATTCGGATATTGATGGAAATTTAGGTTGCTTCCATGACTTGGCTATTGTAGATAATGCTGCAGTAAACATGAGGATGTGTGTATATATTCGAGTTAGTATTTTTGTTTTCTTCAGATAAATACCCGAAGTGGCATTGCTGGACCATATGGTAGTTCTATTTTAATTTTTTGAGGAACCTCCATACCATTTTCCATAGTGGCTGCACCAGTTTATATTCCCACCAACAGTACACAAGGTTTCCCTTTTCTTCACATCTTCACCATCACTTATTATTTCTTATATTTTTGATAATAGCCATTCTAACAGGTGTGAGGTGATATCACATTGTGGTTTTGATTTGCATTTCTCTGTTGACTAATGAGGATTGATGTTAGCAACAGAAATGTTGCTCATCTCTCTGCTCCCTTCTCTTTTGGATTAAGTGATATTGTCAGGTTTAAAAAAGGCCTTCGGGAAAAGACTCAGTCATGTTGAGAGTCATACAGACCATTTTTGTGAAAATTCTGCGACTAGCATTGCACTGCCCAGGGCTAATTGAGCTCTTAACAAATCCCCCCAGGGAGAGTACATTAGTTAGTCAGTCAGTCAGTCTACTGGAAAACCAGGGCAAAGTTTTCTTTCCAAACTATCAAAAAGACTGCCACTCAGCACAACAGGATGGACAATCATTTATATAACCATATATATTTATACTTATGTCTACCAATCTACCTACCAATCTAGTTTCCTCTGTAACAAGGCTCAGCAGCTTATTAACCATGAGTACCATCATAGAAACCAAGCATTGCCTCCCAGTGCCACTCTGTGAGAGCTATTGTGAGTGAAGGAAACAGAGTCTGGAAGACTGAATTTGCCGACTAGTTCTAACAGTTTTTTGGTGGAGTATTTAGGGATATATATGTGTATAATCATGTCATCTGCAAGTAGTGACAGTTTTCCTTTTCCCTTTTTGATTTGGATACCTTTTATTTCTTTTTCTTGACTTTTTGGCTAGGACTTCCAATTCGGTGTTGACTAAAGGTGACAACAGTGGACATAATTGTTTTGTTCCTGATCTTAAAGGAAAAGCTTTTAGCTTTTCACCATTGACTATGGTGTTAGCTATCATATATGGCCTTTATTATGTTGAGGTACGTTCCCTATATATCCACTTTGAGAGTTTTTATCAAAAGTGGATGTTGAGTTTTGTCAAATGCTTTTTCTGCATCTATTGAGGTAATAAGAGTTTTATCATTCATTTGTTAATGTGTATCACATTGATTGATTTGCAAATGTTGAACCATCCTTGCATCTCTGGAATAAATCCCACTTGATCATGGTGTATGATCTTTTAAATCTGTTGATGAATTTGGTTTGTTAATAATTTTATTGAGGATTTTTACATCTATATTTATCAGGAATATTGGCCTTTAATCTTCTTGTCATCCTTGTCTGATTTTGGTATCAAGTTAATGCTGGCCTCATATTAGCTTGGAAGTGTACCCTCTGTTTTTTTTATTTTTTGGAAGAGTTTGAAAGGATTGGTATTAATTTTTCTTTAAATGTTTGATACAATTCATCAGGGAAGCTGTCTGGTCCTGGATTTTTGATTACTGATTCAATCTCTTTGGCAGTAATTGGTCAGTTCAGACTTTGTTTCTTCATGATTCAGTCTTCGTAGGTTGTATGTCTCTAGGAATTTATCATGTATTTTATGTTGTCTAATTTGTTGGTGTATAATTGTTCATAGTAGTCTTTTATGATCCTTTGTATTTCTGTCTCATCAGTTATAACATCTCCTCTTTCATCTGATTTTATTTATTTGATTTCTTTCTTATTTCTCCTTGGTGAATCTAACTAAAGGCTTGTCAATTTTCTTTACAGTCCTATGGGACATGTAAGTATAATCCCTGCTGGCAACTAGAGCCAGGCAACCTAGAGTTGTCTCCTGGGTGGCAGCCACAAAAATTGCAGCGCCAGACAAGAGTACAAAATCCTTTCTTGAAGATACCAGTGAGCTGGAGCAAGACAGAGGGAGAGCACAAAGATGGCGCCTGCTGGCCTTCCTCTTTGGAGAGTATTTCAGTGGGCCTCTAGATGTATGTTAAATTAGATCCCTGCCCCCAGGTAGATGATTTAAGATAAGCAAATAAGCCTGTTTTACAGAAAGTCCAGGTGCTTTACAGTCATCTGCCTCTGTGCTGGGCCCTGGGGTGGGTGAGTCTACTGGAGCCCTTTAGAACTGCTTCTCAGTTTGCTATAGCTTTGTGGGACTCGTTTACATAAGCCCTATTTGCTTTCAAAGTTACATTTTTTGGGGGGGTGGAGGGAGCTCATCTCTCAAGCACTGGCTTTAAAATTTGGGATGCCCAATGTGGAAGTCAAACCTTTTGCTCCTCAGGGACAAGCTTGGATTTTTGAGTTCCTTCCCATTTGTTGATTACCACACCAGTGGTGGGGCTTATGGTGAGATTGTGTCTCAGCATCTCCTACCCACTTGGATATGGGTTTATTCTTGTTTGCTCAATATATAGGAGCCACTCAGATGATTTTTGGGTTTCCTTCAGAGGAAATTGTTCCATATGTAGCTGTCAATTTGGTGTGCCCCTGGAAAGAGGTGGGTTCAGTATCTTCCTACATTGTCATCTTAAATTGGAATCCCCAGATTTAACATCAGTCTGTCCTCTGCCTTTGGGAAAGTTATCAACCTCTGTGCCTCACTCAGTTTCCTCATCATTGTTTATATCAACTATGTTGGGAATACAAGTACCTACCTCCTGCTTGTTGTGAACATTTAATGGGAAAAAACTTACTTAGAAATGATAAGCATCGATTTGATGGTGATTATAGATGCTAACAGATGAATTAGGTAACGCCTGAAGTTCACCACTCTCTGGCCATAGCAGAGCCCTAGCCCTGAACCATGCCTGGATTCTTTGTTTTAAGCCAAGGGGGGGATGGCTCCTAAGTGGTGTTGTTTCTACCAGCATATTTCCGTGTTTTCAATGGTTTTCTCATAATAATTTCTGCTTATGGTCAATTCTTTTTTATGTGAATTTGATTAAGCGTAATGGCCTGGGGGCAGTTTTTTTTGTTTTTTTAGGGTTTTTGTTTTGTTTTTTGCATCAAAGACTTCAGTTTTATAAATCTAAAAAATAAATGAATATGCACTAAAACTAAAGCACAATGTTCACTGTGAGCATACCATCCAAATGAGGTTAAACACTTGTCTCCTGTCTCAAGGCACCTTTGACCAGAAAATGCTTGATTGCAGCACTTTGCAGTAGAACATTCTGCCATGTTGAAGTGTTCTACATCTGTGCTGTCCGTTACAGTGGCCACCAGCAACATATGGCTACTGAGCTCTTGAAATGTAGTTAGTGTGACTGAGGGACTTAATTTTTAAATTTTAGTTAATTTAAATAGCCACATGTGTCTAGTGGCTATCATTGGATAGCCCAGGTCTACAGGATAATATAGTGATGTATTCCTAAGATTGAATGACTGATTCAGGAATCAAGTGGAACAAAATAGTTGTTTTTATCTTTTTACTCATAAACAAGTCAGATAACACCAAACATTTTTATAAAATTCAAATAAGACTTTTCTACCTAGAGAAACAAAGCTCTGGAAAATCCTAGGATTCTCTTAAATATCCATAATTTGAAATGCAGCCCAGCAAGCTAAGGTGTGTTTGTTTCCCAGTCTTCCTATAAATGCTGATTAAATTAAGGCCTGTCCTGTAGTTGGTGCTCAGTAAATATGTGCTATGTGAATGGTTAGTTAATAATTCTGCAAACAGAGGCAAATGTGCACTTCTAGCCCTGTATATCAGCGGTTCTCAACCTTCCTAATGCTGCGACCCCTTAATACAGTTCCTCATGTGGTGGTGACCCCAACCATAAAATTATTTTCGTTGCTACTCTATAACTGTAATTTTGCTACTGTTATGAATTGTAATGTAAATATCTTTTTGTTTTCTGATGGTCTTTGGCAACCCCTGTGAAAGGGTCGTTCGACCCCCAAAGGGGTCGTGACCCACAGGTTGAGAACCACTGCATATGATGCAGTGATTCATATGAATCTGCTCCCCACAATTCTTCTACTGATGCATTTTCTTAGATAAGAAGGAATTAAAGAAATTACAAAGCTAAAGAGTAAATGTTTGATCATGCTCTGGTTTCGTTATTGTTTCCCAAGGTAAACTGAAAGAATGGTCTTTGGTACTCTATGGCACCTCGGTGCAGCCATACTCACCAACGAATGAGTTTCCTAAAGTGGAACGTGTCCGTTATAGCCGAGTGGAAGACCCCACCGATGACTACGGCACAGAGGATTATGCAGGTGAGCTGACTTCCAACAGGGATATAGGCTAAGGAAAGAAAGCTCATGCATCCCACCATGCAGATATATATATAAACTTCTACCCATATTCTGATATATTTTCATCATCTTCTTTTCTATCTCCTCCAATATTTGTACGTGTATATTCATATCAAATATCCATGTGTTTTTCCTTCAAAGCTAAAGCCACACTGTATATAGAGTTTTCATATCCTATTCTCCCTTAAAGATATTAAGAGCATATTTCCCTGCTGTCAAATATCCTTGGCCACAGATTTAAAAGACAGCATAATTGTCCATCCTGTGATCACACTGTAATATATTTAATCCATTATCTGAAATGTGTAGTTTGCTTAGAGTTTTACACTAGTTTAAACAAGGTTTGGATGAATATCATTATTAATCAGTCTTTGTCTATACCTTTAATTATTTCTTTAGAATAGAGTTCTGTTCTGAGAATTATTGCATCAAAGGGAATAATCAGTTTTAGGGCTTTGATAAATTTTAAAACATTGTTTTCCAGACAAAGATATACACCAGTCTACACTGTGACAGCTGTGTGTTTATTGAACTCATCCCTGCCTGCATTGAGTAGAAAGAAAAGTTTTTAAAAAGAAAAGAACACTCAAATTTTTATAGTATTGATTGCTAGTAACTCTAAACATTTTTTTTCTGTACTGCAGGTCCTCAAATAATGTCGTTTCATTCAATGTTGTTTTGTTATAATGCTGATGAGATAGGAACTTCACTCTTGTTTATATCGACTAGCCTATGGTAAAATTGATTTCCCTATATGTTCTTTTGCCACAGTTCCAAGAATCTATTAATGACGTTAAGTGAGGATTTACTGAAGTTCTTTGAATTAAATACAACTGTCTTTTACTCATTCTGTTCAAACTGACAGCAATTATCTTATCTATTTATAAGAATTCTTTGTATGTTATTGTCTCTCACATTATCTCATATTTACTGAAAACATTTTTTAATTATCACTTGTTTCTGAAATGTAGTTTTTGTTTTGTGTTATGTTGTTTTGACAAAGAAAATTGGAGAGTAAGGTTTATATTTTTAGATAATAACATTTGTGATTTTTTAATAGTTGTTTCAGCCCTAAAATCAGCTCAATATTCACATGAATTGTTATAATCTCTGATTTTTACATTCAGCCATTAATTCATCTGGAACTTATTTTGGTTTATAATATATGGGTGTGAAAGGAAGATCTCTTTATTTTCCAAACAGACTAACATCGTTGGCTGAGTTACCATCTCTTCTTTTAATATTTTAGGATATTTCCTTTATAACAGTATATTAAATTCTTATACCAGGGTCTCTTATGGTACCACTTTTTCTGATTTATCAATCTAATAATTCTTAGACCAATAGCATCCACACTCTTTTAACATCATGATATATTTTAATATATTATGAATATCTGCTTGTTTTCATAGCAATTCTTAAGTTCCCCTTTAAAAGTGCCATTGGAATTTAATTTGAATTTACATTCAATCTAATGGAAGAACTGTTTTTACAATATACAGTCTTTCCATTCAAAACAATAGCCCATGTTTTTATTTTACTGAAATATTTTAATTTTAGGTAGTGGTATTCTTATTAGTGTCATTCATATTTTGGGTCTTGTTGCTATTGTGGAAATTATTCCATATTTGTTGGTATCAGGAAATCTATTGGCTGTTGCATATTTATCTTATATCTATCTGACCATTTGGCTTAACTCTCTGAATAATTTATATGTTCTAAAGTTGATTTTCTGGGGCAGCTTAGGTACTGTAGCCATATCATCTGCAAATTGTTTTTCTCCTCCCCAGTTTATTTCTGATTCCTGTCTTGTTGCATTAGCTACTGTTTCCAGCAGCATTCAATCCTTCTGGGATATGACATATGACATTTAATGAGCAAAGCTTTTCCCAATGCAGAACTATTGATAAATAGGAGTTTAATGTACCTTCAAAAGAGAAGTATTTTTTTCCTGTAGCCCTCTGAGATTCTTTTTCTAGGTACTAAAGATAAAAGTACTTTGTTTATAACTTTAACAAAGTATCTTAAATATGTATGTAGTTCCTTTTGTTCTAAACAGGTAGTATCACAGAATCAATAATAAGCTTGGATAATTCAGACCAATTGAGCTAACCAGAGCTAGATTGTGTTAGAGTTTCTTATTTTGCTTTGAGCTTGTAACATTACTATTCACGTTACAACTATCAAACTAGTCTGCCTTCTCTGGTAGGAGAAAGTGTACCCAAAAACATAAATGAGGCATAATAGTAACCTATTACAATGTGCCTTATAATATGTTTCCAGTTAAAATTTTGATAATGTTAAATTTCTGAACAGTTATACATCTTTGTGGGTTTTTTCCTCATTACAGCTTCAAAATGTCCACATTGGCACTTGTGAGAAAACAAAAATAATTATTTCATTATTACACTGCAATCTAAAATGCTAAATTGCATCTGGGACAGTTTAAGATTATGAAAGAAACAGCACAGCATGTGAACTTGCCATGCACAGCCCTTTGGCACATATCAAAAATAAATGTTTTGGGAGGGTTTTTTAATTGTAGAAATCATCTGGTGAAAATTTAGGGCCACCCATGACTTCTTTTCTTTGGAGCTGTGATTTTCACCTTTATTAAGAAGTCAGGCTGCCTAGAGGCACAGATGGCATTGTCATAACCAGATCCCTGTACTATATCTTTGAATTCCAGGGACTATGGGACCCAGAGCCGGCTGAACTTCAACGCTTACACAGCAGACACGCTCTTCTCAAGTACCATAGCAGAAGCCAGCTAAAATGCCCCAAATTGTACTAGCTATGGAATTTAATTTAGAGATCCATTTTAAGGCTTTTGGGAAAATAGAGGTAAACAGTGCCATCAAATGAGTCTTGTTGTGATTAATCAGAAATATATATGAAGTTTGCAGAATTTCAAAATGAATCATTTTCATTCAGATCAAAAGGTCATTTCTAGTACATGATTTAATCTAAGTAGGAGACGTGGACTGAGAATCAGGACATATGTTGACCCCAACTCTTCTAGCTGTATGATGCTGGGCAAGCCATTATAACCCTTGGGAAATTGTTTTATCATCAGTAAAATGAAGGTGTTTGACTGCTAGATCTTTCTCTGAGTCAGTCTTCCCCAGTTCTACCATTTTGTGTTCCTGTCATTCAGTAACTGTAGAACACAGTCCCATAATGACTAAAGGAAACCAAAGATCAACAGTAAGTCCTTTTGATTAAAGTAAGTATGGTTTAAAACATTTCTGGCACCACTGACTTACTGTTTGTACATTTCATGCAATATGTTTATTGCTAGTGAAAATCATGGGAATTTTCAGTGGGAAAGAACTTGAATATTGAGAGACTAAATGTCCCAAAATATGGAGAACAACAAAAAAGGGAGTTAGTTCAATAAAGCAAAATGTCTATAGCTATCTCATGTCATTAGAAAGCTTTCGTCAATCAGCAAATAGCTCCATCTCTTTGGCATTTTTTCCTGACTATGCATTCTCTCGAGTTCTATATCAAAGAACACATAACAAGAGAGATTAGGGGCCTTCATGCCAAGTCTGGAATTCTTTAAGCTTGCTCACATTTTTAAAATTTATGTGTAGTTTTCTTTTGTTGAGTTGCCCATTGGCCTATGGGTAGGATACAATTTTAAATCTATTATCTGTGCCTGAAGTACCTGCTTTGTAATCCAAAACTACATACTGAGAAGCTTGTGCCAGATGCCATAATTATGTTTCTTGCGAGCTACGGTATCTCAGAGGTATTCAGTGGCTTTAATGACCTTGGAGGGGACAGGCAATCTGGTCCAAGATTGAATAATAACCTTTTTTTTCTTTTCTGTCAACAGCTTAACTTCTCATTTTTCTATAAATCTGACATTTTTATCGTTATGCATATTTAATTGCAATTGGTGTTTTCCCATTTGCTGCAGTGGCATTGTTCATTTGAATTCTGAAATATTTGTTATCTCCCACAAGGCAGCCATATGTGCTTTGAAGACTGGGCCATGACTAGGATTTACATTCTTGATACTTAGGTAACTGAGGTTTCCCCCAAAAAAGTCTAGAGTTTATCTCTGGGCTTACAGCCACGTTGAACATTATATTATCCTTCTTTCTTAAAGACTCTCACTGCATAGAAAAATATAATTTGTTTTATACCCAATTCAAGGTAAAGCCAAAGTACTGAAAATCATCTTTTTGTAAGTGTTGTTCTGATTTCTTTTGGAAAGGCCCCTGTGACCCTGAGTGCAGTGAGGTCGGCTGTGACGGGCCGGGACCGGACCACTGCAGTGACTGTCTGCACTACTACTACAAGCTGAAAAACAACACCAGGTAAGAGAGGCCCAAGTAAGACCCCGCAGCATGCCCCATGTATTTCTGGGAGCTCCCACAGGGTCACCACGGGCCAGACATCCCTGTGTTTCCCCACCAGGACCTAAGCACAGGCGAGATGCTGCTGCACAAGCCCACTGCCTCCTTGTCTAATCACAATGATGAAACCAATACTGAATTACAAAACACAAAATACCTGTAAAGAAAAAAAAACAATGATTCATTTGAAATATGGTGTTGGAGGAGAGCTCCACAGATACCCTGGACCGCCAGAAAAACAAACAAGTGGGTTACAGAGCAAATTAAGCCTCAATCATCATTAGAGGCAAAAATGACAAAACTGAAGCTACCCTACTTTGGACATGTCATGAGAGGCAGGGTTCTTGGGGAAAGATACTAATGCTGGAAAAATAGAAGGCAGCAGGAAAAGAGGAAGACCAGATATGAGATGGACTGACTCCATAAAAGAAGCCAGAGGGATGAGTCTACGGGAGCTGAGCAGAGCTGTTAAGGACAGGACATTGTAGCATCACTCATTGACAGGGTCACCGTGCCTCAGAACTGACTCAACCGCAAGTAATACACACATGCTATAACACTGCAAATGTCTTTTCTCACATTTGAAAGGATGGTGGGGAGAGATACCTATGCACATGCCTGGTCTTCCCCTCCATACTTTTCCATCCTGTTGAGGCTTGATGCCACAGGTATACTTTCCCTTTGTGAAAATGTCACTGCATGGGCCAAATGGATGCTTTCCCAAATTCCCCCATGTGCCAGCCCTTGATGTGGCAAAGGTGCTAGTCACTGCTCATCCTCACTGTTCCACTTTGGGCACTAAGGACCTGCTTGGACCCTGTGCCTCTGACCTGTCTTCTGCCTCAAACTGTGCAAGTATGTTTCTAAAGGTAAGGGCCATGGAACAGTGACTGTCCCATTAGAGGCCATGCTCTCCAGCCTTGACCCTCACAGGCCTGCCACTTTCTCCCTCCTCCTTCAGGCAAAAACTTACTATAGGATGCTGACTGGTAGTGATTCCACACTCCATTCACCCAGACAGACACAGACATGTTCTAATTTCTGTTTACGTCCATGCTGGAATTTAGACTCTTTAAAGGAAAGGCCCTTGGCTAACTCTGCACCACTATTATCTCCGAGACTTATTAGCAAAAAGCCTGCCATTTAATTGGTACTCAGTATATATTTATTGCGTGAATAAATAAAGCCTTGTCCTTCAATTAAACAAGGAAGTTATTTTTTTAAAAGTTTGTCATAAGCAACATAAATTTAAATATATTTATATTAATTTGGACAACAGCATATAACCACCACCATTACCACCTCCACACATACACACTCCATATGACACACACACAAAAATAGAAGTAACCCCTTATTGGTGACCTTTTTGCATAAAATCATGGTTTCCAGATATTTTCCCTTCAACTCAATGCCATAACCTTCCTCTTGAGATTCAATTTCTAACCATCATTCCCTTTAAAGAGCTAGACTCAAACTGGAAGGTGGTTTGGACCAAAAAAACGCCTTACTTGTTGGACTTGGTGTTGTGTAACTGCATTGTTCCTTCAGCACCCAACACAGGAAAATGTTTTAACCAACGGAATTTGGCCCTTTGGATGTGGTGTTACTTACCATCATGGTTTAAAAAGGATTTTGAGGCCAGGGACAGCTATGTGGAGGACTCAGTCATTGGTGACACTGCCCTTCTTTCTTATCATTCCCCAATGCAGGATCTGTGTCTCCAGCTGCCCCCCTGGTCACTACCATGCTGACAAGAAGCGATGCAGAAAGTGTGCTCCCAACTGCGAGGCCTGCTTTGGCAGCCATGGTGACCAGTGCCTGTCCTGTAAACATGGATACTTCCTGAATGAAGAAACCAACAGCTGTGTTACTCACTGCCCTGACGGATCATATCAGGACACCAGTGAGTTGATTTCCAATATTTGTGTTTAGAGAACAAATGTAAGGTTTTCATTTGCTTGATCTTAAGAGGAATATTCCTCCTCAATGAAATCGAGGCCTTGCTTAATATCAACAAGGATCTAGCCAATTTTTTTAAGAGAACAATTTAGAACTGTTTTGTAAAAGAATAATTTGTGTAAAAATGCCTGTAACTAACTGTGGGTCCTCAAGCCCCTACCCAGATGTAGTGATTTGCTAAGAGTACCCATAAGACTCAACATCTACTTGTGCTCATATATGCACAATCAGGATTAATTACAGAAAAAGAATACAAAGTAAAATCAGCAAAGGGAAAAGGCTCATGGGATAAAGTCCATTGGAAACCAGGCCTAAGCTTCCAAGAGTTTTTCCCAGTGGAGTCACACAGGATACATTTAGTTCCCCCAGCAACAATTTGTGACAACATGTGTGAAATGTAGTCCACAAGCAAACCGCCTTAGGGTCTCAGTGCCCACAGTTGTTATTGGGTCATGAAGGCGTCTTCTGCCGGGCACTTAACAAAATTCCAAACTCCTAGAAGGAAAGCTGGTGTTCAGCATAAACCATATTGTTTGTGTAAACAGTTTAGGCATCTCTTATCAGCGAACTCGTCTGAAATCTCAGTTCCTAACCTTATATACCAACCTTACAAGCCAGCTTTCAGAAGATAGCAGCCAGGCCTGCTCTTCTCTGCATGATAACCAGAAACACCAGGCCTAGATGATATCAAAGTATACTTTCCTATAAGTTTTAAAGACATGACTTATGTGTACACGTAGTATGAACATCTATACCTCTTTTTAACCCATTAATGAGGGAAACTACAAGGTAACAAACAGGTTCAGAGACTGTTGAGTATTGTAGTCCTCTAGGAAAGGCAAAATGAAATCTGTTTGCTGAGTTAGAGACAAAACTGAATCATTTCCTACATGGCAATACAACTAGAATTTTCAGTTTATTTTTTTCAAATGGACAGATATTATTTGCAACTTTACCAAACAAAAATCTATAAATTAACCTGTACTTCACAGACTTTGGGCCCTAATTACCCATCATTAGTAAACAGACAAAGGTACATTCTCTGGAGAATTAAATAATCTTTGGGCATGCCTGTTAGTAGTCTAGTTGAGCCCTGAAAAGGGCTGAAGGCACCTTTTGCTTTATTTATGAGTTCTCGATAGTTTGTCTCAAGAAGGGTGTCCTGCCATGATATAGGTGACACTAAAATTTCATTTTCTGTATAACCTAAGAAAGAAGAAAACACAAGTGTAAAGGAACAAGTGTTGTTGCTTTTTATTTTTTTAAATGAGGCAAGAATGCTGACGTGAATACTCTTGCTTTTTAAGAAGTCAGATTCTCTCTTGATTCAAAGGCATGTGTTTCTTTATGTGGCAGATAGGATGTCTCAGTGTACCTTGGAGCAATGGGGAGGGATTCCCCTGTAGTTACTATTTTTCCCCAAAATTTGAAATATGAGCTACAACTTGATGAAGAAAGGAGAAAATGGAGGTGGGGAGGGTTAATAAGAGATCCACAGAAATAAGCAGTGTACCTTGGGGGAAAAAAAAGTCAAAATTCTATCAAGAAGGGTGAGCCTTGGAAAAGAAATTTGGTTCTAGATGGTATATGACAGGATGAAGAGAGTCAGTTCTTTTTCTAGAACCTGGGAGGAAGACAATTAAGGAAGGCTGTTCAAACAATTACTTTGCTGGTAAGAATGGTCTATGCATCTCTCTTCTTCTGTGTAATTGTCTTCTGTTATTGCCTCAAGTTTCCTCTTTCAGTGGGTACATTTACATACAACATAGCAATCATGTATGATCATGACTAATAATAATTATTAACAGCACATTTACAGTGCTTCCAAGTTCATATGATTCCCTTGAATAATTTCATTAAGCCCTCAAGACAGGCTGAGAGGTAAACATCATTGTAATATGAATTTAATAAATGAAAGAACAAAGACCCTGAACTTGCCCACAGGAAACGCTAAAAACAAGATGCAAATCTAGGTCCTCAGACTACCAGTCCTATGCCATGTCCAGTATTCTCGGCGACACAATGAGGGGAGACCATGTGATAACTACCAAAAGATCATAAAAGGCTTATATGCTGAGGGGTTTAAACTTGAGAAAGGAGATGGACCTCCAGGAGGTCCTTATAGGGATGCATGAAAGCGTTGTTTCTCTGTGGAACTGTGAAGAATACCAATGTTTCAAGAGTAGACAGAGGAAGAGTAGCCTAGGAACAAAGCTTCATTCAGTTCTACACATACATGTGGTTATAATCTACTTGCATCTCAAAAAAGGTATCAAGTCTCCAGAAAAATTTCACCTGAGGTAAAAGGTCTTACTACAACAGATCACCATTTTTCACTATAGAGCAATCATGCATTTGCCATTTTTTTCTTAATGGGGATCTGTGTTTGGTATTAAACAGAGCCAGTATTCACAGTATATTCATTCAATCAAATACATTTCTAGTCTCCAGAATACAGGTATTATCTGAAATATAATATTGATATCAATTCCACAGGCTCTGTAAAGTACAAGACACTATTCTAGACAATGAAAGAAATAATTCTTACCTTGCCATCTTAAATGTAGGTTCCCTTTTCTAGTACAGTTCATCAGAGTAGTCCTGAAAGCTGTGAGCACAGGGGTCCATCATTCCATTCCATGGCCACGAGCGTTGCTTCTCAACCCTTTTATACTGGCAATGCACCAGCTTCATTGGAATTTTCGTTGTCAAAAGTTAGGAAACCCTGCTTGGGAAAAAGAATGGGAAGAAGAGGGGAAAACTAATAAAGTATTCAACTAAGAATTAAGTGGGCTGTAGTTCTCGTCTTTACAAAATGGTGGCTATCTCTAAGGTATTTGCTAGTGCTGCAGTTGCTACCTACATTTAGTTTGCTGAGAAGTGATAGCAAATGTTGACTGTGGGGATTTTCCTGCAATTTTCTGCTCAAGGCCATGTGTACTATAGCAGATGTTAGCAAACACTGAAACATCTCCACATGCTTTTATGGAATCCAGTTGACCAACTGATTTATAACCTTGTTACTTTTTTTTTTTTAACAGAGAAAAATCTTTGCCGGAAATGCAGTGAAAACTGCAAGACTTGTACTGAATCCCATAACTGTACAGAATGTAGGGATGGGTTAAGGTAAGACTGTAAAGTAACACTGTCCAAGGAGCTTCTCAGTATAAATAACCCTCTTACCATCACCTTTGGTTTGACTTCTATTCAAACACTTGATTGCTATTTGCATTATCTCTACCATTATATATGAAAAATTGAATGCCATCTTGGCTAAGGAAGGCTTATAAACCACATAAAATTCTCTTTAAAAAAGATGGCTCAGATACCAGTAAATAAAAATGGCCATCTGAGAGACTTCCTTCATGCCTTTTAACTGGCAGTGTGCCAGTCAAGGATGACTGTGTAGGTAATTTTAATCCCCCTGATTCATTCCTTTGGTGGTCAGAAACTATTTCCTTATCTTTATTATTTCCATATAGCAATCATGCTCTTAAGTACCTCAGGCTTGGTTCCATTATTCTATAGTATGCACATAGAGATATTTTCTTTAAATAGATGACTTGCTCATTGCTAAAGCCAGATACAGCAGGTCCTCAAATAACTCTTGCTTATATCAATTAGCCTATAGTAATTATGCGTTATTTCGTTTAAAGTCACAGAACCTATTAATGACATTAAGTGAGGATTTTGAAGAGAACAACATGCCCCTCAGATGAAGTAGTAGGTGGTCTCTTGATTTCCATAGAGAAGGTCAGACCATCCTACGTTGAATGAGGCATTGGGAGTCTGGGTTTACATAAAGTTCGAGTTCTGCTGTACTCACTCTTTTTTTTTTTTTTAAGATTTTTATTGGGGAATTGGGGGATGGGAAAAGTGCTGGGGAATTGGGGGAAGGGGAACAGACAAGCTGCTGTCGTTTTTTGGTTCTTCAGTTTAGTTGTGGAGGACATGGCACCATCATTGCGCTCTTCCCGGGTGAGGCAGACTAGTCACTGGCCTCTGGATGGCCGCTCACAGCAGCTGCTGGCCACTCACGCTGGCTGCTGGCTACACACGATAGCCCATGGCAACCCACTGCAGCACGGGCTGCAGCCGCTGGCGACTCAAGGCAGCCCAGCATCTTAGCTGTGGAGGGCAGTGTCACCGGCCCTCATATGTGGGATCCGAACCGGGGTCCTCTTGCGTCCCAAGCCAGTTCTTAACCAACGCGCCACTCGGCCGGCCCTGTACTCACTCTTTTGAGTATTGATAGTACCTCTGCTTCCACCTTTGATCAGAGGTGAAATAGGCAGAGTCCAGGCAGGCTTAATTCTTCACATTAGTTAATATTACATCATGTTTATTTAAATTTATTAATTTGCTGCTTTATTTATTTTTCGTAAATGCATTCAGTGTTAGTTTGCTTAGCACCTTTCCTCTCAAGACAGTCTTAACAAATATCAATCTAGTCAGCCTAATTCTTTTTGGAGAAGGAGCAGATTGGTATAATAAAACGAAAGAAGACAGATGTGGACTGAAATTCTCCTCTCCTGTTTACCAGCTGTGTGGTCTTGGCCAAGTCACCTAGCCTCCCTGACTGAGCTTCTATTTTCTCATCTATAAAATGGTGATAATAACCCCTGTGTTGCTGGATTATGATAAGGATTAACTGATAACATTTACAAAGCACTTATTCCAATTTCTGACACACAATTGGTCCATGAGAAATAAAAGGTTATTTAATAAAAATTATTTTCTATATGTCTTAGGGAACATTTTATCCAGTAAGGTAACCCATGCTCTCCCATGGGAATGAGAGCCACATATGTTCATTTTAAATATGCCAGGTGCTGAATTAAAGGAAGTAAAAAGATACAGGTGAAGTTTATTATAATAAAATATTTAACTGATCCTATCCAAATATTATCATTTCAATGTGCAATTAATGTAAAAGACTCTTAGTGAGATATTTTACATTTTTTGGCTGTTATTGTACCAAGTCTTGGAAATCTGGTGTGTATTTTACCCCTAAACTACATTTCAATTCAGACAATAATTTGTTGATCTGTATTTAGATTTTATAAAATTTAGCTGAAAGTAGCCAACTTGTTCTAAACGTACTCAGACTTTTTTCCAATAACTGAATCAGGTGCCAATTTGTAAAATCTAGACTGAAATTCAAATTTTAAATTCCATTCCTGGGCCACCCTAGTCACGTTTCAAGTGCTCAGGAACCACAGGTGCTAGAGCATGTGGGACAGCACAGGGCTAATATAGCTGGTTTATCACAAAAAAAAACCCAGATGTTCATAGGACCGGGTCCGTTAGCCGTGCCAGCCCTTTAATGGTGGAAGCCGCAGAAAGCCTTAGGGCCCACAATGATCGCATGTGCCACTTAGTTCCTTCCTTCCCCATGCAGTGCAGCCTCTGTCTCCTGAATAAATGCCAACCTCAGAAGTAATGAGCCTTATTAGAAAAATTAGGCAGCTTTTTAAAAACTTCGATAAAGTTTTTTTTGGTGGTCCTATTTCCTTCCACAAAAGGATGTTTTTGATGCGATGTCCTTTTTCCCAGCTCTCCAGGAAGGGAAGGGATTTTCGTTTTAAATGACAGCTATCTCTGGACAGTGAGGACATCTATGAATGGGGTACACTTCCAGTTATGCTGCCCACTGTCTCTTTGAGGCTTTCTGTATTTTCCTTAGGGGCTTCTAGGGTTGACCATTTTGCCTCAAGAGACCTGTAAATTTTTATATCGTGGGTAAAAACAAACATGGGAAAATATATATGGATAAAATACCGTAAGGAAACATTAAAATATTAACAGCGCTGTTTGGGATTCTTTTTCATCTACTTTAGTTTTGTTCTTTCCGAATTTCTTTACTGGGCATATTTATTTACTGAAATAAATTTTCCTTTGTAAAACTGGTATGCTCCATATACAGAGCAAAGTCAAGATGTGAATTGGAGCGATATAAAGAGTTTGACCCTGTGGTTAGATACCCATCTTCTAGTGTCGTCTATTGGTTGACGTAGGATTACATGTTCTTCTCACTGGTTGTAGTCATATTACTTAGTTATACAGTGAGTGATATTTACGTATTAAATATTGCAAATTCTATGTATTTGTTTTGAATTTTAAGAATCAGCCAGAAGGGCCGGCCGAGTGGCGCGATGGTTAAGAACTCGCTTGGGACGCCAGAGGGCCCCGGTTCATTTCCCACATATGAGGGCCAGTGACACT